ACTTGTGTCTCACTAAATACATTTTGAACCCCTGGGGGCAGGGATCATGGCTTCTGCATCTTTGTATCTCTAACACCTAGCATTAAAACTTGACACTTAGCATATGCTTGATAAATATTTGTTGAAACAAAATAAAATATTTACCATAGTTCTTCATTTAAACTCATAGAATTTGCACTTCCTTTCTCCCCTGATACTTAACCATATATGTGATATGAAAATATGATTCAGAATAATCAACAGAAAATATACTCTCTTGAGCTGGCCCTGAAATAAGACAATTTTCTGGCTTCCACTTTTCTCATGTCTCTCAAAGACTTTTGTCAAGAACATCTATGACCTAAATTCTAAAATACAATGATGAAGAAGTCTTCATTGAGCTGAAAAGTCTTCTTTTCAGCCCTGGTCTTGCCTTCCTACCTTGTCACATTGACACAGTTAACTGCTTTCTCTTGCATTCTCTGTCTTCGTATATTCTTTTTTTTTTTCATGATTTCCATGATGTTATTCCATCCCATTTTCCCTAACTCTCTAATGCTCCTTCTTAGTTTCTTAGTAATTATCTTCTTATTGTCCTTCATTCTCTGGTACTCTTATTTTCTTATTCTATGCATGCTTTTGGGGACAATTATTCCCGCTTGGACAATCATAAGGAATAAGAAGAGTGGGCTGAAGAATGACTAATGAAGAATTTCCTTCACACAATAATCACATTGTATTGAAACTATTTGTTATGCTCCCTAACTAGACTCCATGAGTAGAACTTCTTCCTTACTCCTCTATATTTTTAGTGCTGAAAGGACTTGGATCCCAGAAGGTGATGAATAGATATTTCTTGAATTAATGAAACACAATTTGTATTTTTCAAGAATACAAGTTGGAAAAGAATTGGACATTTCTGAAAGTGTTGGGTTTTATGACATAAGTGAATGGCTGTTTATAATTCACTATAATCAATTCCCATATTTTGGAAGAAGTGAGCAAATTGATCTCAAGTCCTCTTCCAACTCTAAACATCGTAAGTGTTATATGACTTAATAAGAAAGAACTGGTCTTGTGTACTTTGCTGATGCAATGCCTGGGACAGTGCTTCCTCTGAGTGTATGCTTACTGTGTGGAGTTTGAGAAAAAGGATGCCTGATATTTTTTTTTAAGAACTTAATTTTTGGGTCTCCTTGGTGGCGCAAGGGGTTAAGCACTGCTCTATGAAGCAATCCTCTGCAGCATGAGTTCGATCCTGGGAGAAACCCACATGATGAGGCAGACCTCTCCTGTCTTGCCCTCTGCTCCCATCAGCAGTGCATTTCAGTCAATCCGCCTGTTCTGTTCCCCACTCTGTCTCCAGTGGATCCTCTCACTCCCTGCATCTCTGGCCTGTACCCCAGCTCTTGTATGCATAAAGAAATAAATCTTATTTAAAAAAAAAAGAACTTCATTGTTAACTTCAGAGTAATCCATAATATATATAGAGGTAGTCCACAAGTGGATTCAGAGATAATGTGGCTTAGAAAGCTAAATAATAGCTCGAGGACTCAGCAGCTATTGTTATTTTTAATGTTTTAATATTTCCTTTGTTAACTATAATATTTGCTTAACTCATGAGTATAAACTTCCTAAAGGAATTTTTCCTTACATGACATAAAATATTAGTGCAAAAGAGAGGCATAGTGTAATTTTCTGGGCAGATACTGAAATGCAAAATTCGGTGACATTTAATAAGCTAACTCACTTTCTTCTTCTTCACTGCTTCCCTCACCATGGAAGCAGAGGCCTCCTTTCTGAAATTGACAGGAATTGAAAACCCTGAGTTGCAGCACGAGATGCCTGATCCTATTTCCAGAGTTCTGTCTTGATAGCCAAATATCTTCCCCTTTTCCGTTTAACACAATGCATTTGTGACTCTATATTTGGGCATGGAAATGACTATTGCCTAGTGGAGGAAAAAAAATACTTTTCAGTGGTTTTTGTTTTTACTTGTTATGGCTCTGAATTTTTCCTGCTTTGACATGACGGCTAAAATGTGCACAGCATTTCTGTGCCATCCACAAACATATTTTCAGCATGCCTGTTTTCATGAAGGAAGTGAAGGAAGCATAAGCTTGGCACGACACTAAGTATGGGGTGTGTACATGGAGACCATCTGTTCCGTATACACTCTGCTCTGCTCTGACATGCAGAAGGAAAGAAATCTGTGAAATCAGAAGGTGGGTTTTTTAAGGTGTTAACTACTGAATAACTTGAGTAATGGACTCAACACCACTCGAGATATATTAAAAGTTCTCTCCTCTACTGCCACCCCATTTTAGTTAACCATGACCAGACCAATAATTTATTAGGTCAATACTTCATTTGACAAAAACTGTGTCATCATTTTATTTGAGGGTTTGGGTAGGGAGGGTGCATAGTGTAAGAGGGCGGTCCCCAGGACAAGGGGAGGTTCCAGGTTCCCTGTCCCACCCAAAGAAAGGTGGAGCTGAGCAGGGAAAAGAAGAAGCTGGAGAGGAGACTGGAGTGGGAAGGACAGGATGGAGAGCCAGAGGGAGCTGGTGGAGGCACATTGAGCTAAGAGACACATAAAGAAACTGCATTTGTTTCTTGGTCCTGGACTGGTTGAAACAGATGTGGGTGAGAGACCCATGGGGAGGTTAACAATGGCAGCTTTTATCTTAATTTTGAGTTTGCTGTTTTCCTCCCAGACTTGTGTGGCTGTTTCTGACCCTTTTCTATGGGTCCCCGCCGGAAGGTGCTTTAGACGTGTGGCAGACTTTTGAGCCTTGCTTTAGGCCAACCCTGTTTGGGTGGACTTTCACCCATGAGGGGATGAGTAACTTTGGGTGCTTGATTTGGAAACTATATTCTTTGTCTTTTCTGTATTGCACACTAATTGTATTAAAGTTCCTTTCCATTAAAATCTATATGTTTTGTCTTGATGCAGTGGATGGCAGGACCTATTTAGAGCGGGCAGGTGTGGAGGTTCTGGGGTGCTTCTCTCCCTGCCCTGTAACAGAAGCAGCACATTTCTGTTACAAACATGTCAGTTAGCTAGGCTAGGAGGAAGAGATGATATTCTTTTTATACTTATGCTATAGCTGGAAAAGAATTTATGAGACTTTAGAGTCTTTTGTACAGCAGAGCCATCTTATTTAATTTTTGGTTGGGGACTGGAATTCTGGGGCTGCTGTTGGTACCATCAGAAGTGACCATTCCACCTCACTGACTTCCTGTGGAAAATCTATACTGATTCCAGGGATGTATAACACTGGACTCAACTATGCCAGTGAAGACTCCTACTTACCACTACTCAACATAATGAAGAAAGCCAGATTTTCTTCAGTCTGGTTTCTCCATAGATTGGCTTAATATGAGTTGTCTGGACTCAATGTATTTGATAAAAATGAAAATTCTCATTTTTGTAGGCTAATTCTTGATCCTGATGAAAAAATAGAACTGACACTCAATGAAAGAGGAACTTGCACCCTCCTGAAAGATCTTGCATGATGTAAATGGAGCCCTGATTAAAACCTAGTTCCTTTTGTTTTTCACAAAAAAAAAGGAAACATTAGTGGAGTCAAAATCAAACTCAACAGGCTTCTTGGTTGGAGAAATGATAATGTGATGGCTACCAGGCTGCATCCATTTCCCTAATTTTGGTGTTTGGTGAATGAACCTGAACTAAAACAAATACACTACAGGGCTGTCTTCTCTGTAGAGCGCCCTTCCTGGTCTTGACATTGCAGGAGAACAGCCAGTGACTTCATAGAGTAATATGAATACTTTGAGAAGTCACAGGACCACCCTCTTTTGTGCCTGGAACTGTCTTGTTGCTTTGCTGGTAACCTCCTTCTTCTGTGGGCACTGGACTCTGTGGCATTCCTGAGCCTAGCCCATAATTGTTTTATTGAGGAAAAGTATGATTAAATTAAAAATTAGATAATTCAGAACTGTCTTTGAGAACCCACCCTCTGAAAAATTATACTGAATTATTATCAAAATCTACTTCTATGATCTTTTTTAAAAAAGATTTATTTCTTTATGCATACAAGACCTGGGGTACAGGCCAAAGATGAGGGGGGGTGAGAGGATTCACCAGAGACAGAGTGGGGGACAGAATAGGCAGACTGACTGAAATACACTGCTGAGGGGAGCAGTGGGCAAGACAGGAGAGGTCTGCTTTGCCATGTGGGTGTCTTTCTGGCCGGCCAGGGTTCGAACTCATGCTGCAGAGGCTGCGGATTGCCTCATAGTGTGGTGCTTAACCCCTTGTGCTACCAGGGAGGCCCTACTTCTATGATCTTAATGCAGGTGGAGAACTTAACAAGTTAAAATCAGTTAACACTGGTGGTGAAGAATGGACTCCATTGCTTGTATTTAATTAACAAGAATTGTAATAGTGTGAGATCCACAGCAGGGGAGGTTCTAGGTTCCTTGACTCACCCATGGAAGGGTGGCGCTGAGTAGCAAGGGGAAGCTGAAAGAGGAATTGGGCAAGGAAGAAGGAGAGAAGATTAAGAGAAGACTGGAGGAAGCATATGAAGAAGAAGCCGGGCTTACTTGTTGGCCTTGGACTTGTACCAGGGTCTTGGGGACATAGAAAGTGACACTTGAAAGAGATGTGGGTAAGAGACCCATGGGGAGGCTGAAAATGGCAGCCTTTATTTTGAGTTGGATTTTGCTTTTGGTTTTTTCCTTCCAGACTTGTGTGGCTCCTTCTGCCCCTTTCCTTAGACTTTTGGCAAGTTTTGGGGCCTTAGTGGTCCTGCTTTGGACTAACCCTGTTTGGCTGGGCATTTACCCACAAGTGGATGGGTAACTTTCAGTGTTTAATTAAAATTGTTTTAACTATATTCTCTCTATTGCACATTAATTGTATTAAGTTCTTTTTATTGAAAGTTTTTATGCACTAGGGTATTGTCTTCATGCGTGGATGGCAGAACCCATTTAGAGCAGGCATGTGGGGCAGGGGCTCATTCTGCCCTGTAACAGTATTTTTTTTTCTTTAGGTAAAAGGAGACTGCTATCAAATGTAACATACAAAGAGGAAAAAGTAACTCTTAATTCACTAAAAAATATAGATGTTTTGCAGCACCTTTTGCAGCACCTATTATGTACCTGCTGTTCAAGATAAAACGATGAACAAGATGACACGCTTGTTTTCAAGTTTCTTACGGTCTTTTGAAAATTAGGCTGGTGTTATGAACTTGTGCAATTGCTCTAATGGATGCATTTTCAACACGTTAGAGAAGCAAAGAAGAGGGAGCTCTGAAGTCTCTCTGTTGGAGTTTTCTGGAGGAAAGAGTGCTAGGTCTTGTCAGAGAATGGGTAGTTTGGTATGGAGGGTGAGAGGTGGGGCTTCTTAGGGACCATTCAGTAGCCAAACACAAGAGATCAAGTGGATTTCAGAGAAATGCAAAGCATTTGGTCTGTGTAGAATTCTGGGGGCTGGTAGGGGTGGGGGAGGGGGAGATGAAACTGAATGGAGCTATTCAGTGCCCACATCATACCAAGCTTCTCACAGCTGTTCAAAACCCATGCTCTCCTTCAACAAGGAAATCACAAAGAAGTGTGTCCATGTGGAGACACTGTTCTGCTCTTCATTCCAAGACCTTTTGAAGAACTTCTGCCTTACTGTAGGAAGGCAAAAGGAAGAGGAGAGCTATTCTGTCTCCTTTCCTTGAAGCTAATTCCCGGATGGCATTTCAGCGCTTTGATTTTTATATAGAGCTTCAATATATAACAACTGTAACTTGGCGAAGGTGGGATAACAACTTTTGAGCAAATATTCTTAAACTCGTAAAATGGGACATCACAGGGAGACCATATTTCAGGTTTGACTACCAGGAATGAAGCAATTGTAACCACTTTCCCCAACCAATGCAAAAAGACCTGGGACATTCTCTCTTTGTGTTATTAATACCACTGTCTCCTTCCCCTGCCTCAGTGTTTCATCAATTGGGAATTTAGACCCAGATTCCAGACAAAATGTTTTTGCATTTCGTTTTCCCAGTTGTTAACTTGCTGACATTGGGGAAGCAGATCAGGTACTAATGAGTGCCATCCATCCCTGCTCCTCCTTCTTCACTATCATTCAATTTTGTTCCTAAAGGAAAAGAAATGACTTCTTTGACAAGGTACATATTCCGTAGATTTCTCCCAGTCTCTGACATGAGACAAGTGAACCTTCTATTTTCTAGCAGATTAATGAAGAGAAGGCATCCTGTTCAGCGGGCATCCATGATTGCAGGTTGGTTACTAAATGTGCTTATTCACATTTTCACAGTTGCTGGCTGAGTTGCCTGCTGTCCTGCATTCTGTTTGTATCACTAGTTTCCTTTTGCCTTTAGCTCCTTCATTTGGTTTTATCTGTCTGTTTCAGGTGCTATCTGTTTCCTCTGAATATCTCTTTAGATTGCAAATTATATTTGTGATGAAGGGCATTTTCATTTTTATGGTTTTGATTTTATTTTACAACAGAACTAGAGCAAAATAAGCTTTACTGCCTTTTTCTTGGATTATTGATTCAAACTAATTTCAGAAGTAACCTGTTTGTTATGATCTAACCACAACATCACATAACCTAGCTTATCAGAATTCAATTTTCATGACTAAATGCAATAAAAATGTTCAAATATATACAAACTGAGTAGGTTTAGAATTTAAATGAAAACCTGTGGTGTCGATGAAATACACATGACATATGTAACTTAAATTCTTAACTATTTTGGTGAATTAGAGAAATCAAAGATCAAGTCAGTTTCTACTGACCTGTTTTCTGGGGGTGAGATTTATAAACCCTATAAATGCATCATTCGTGTTTCTATCATGAAATGGAAGGATATAATTTTAACATTTGAACATAGATATGAAATCCATGATCTGGAATTATTTGGTAATTTTCAATAGGCGCAGAATATTTCCAGGGTTTCACATGGTTTCATGTCATTTATCTTGATATGTGAGGAGGGATTAATCGTGTTAATATTCAATGAAAACTCACTGGTGTAAAGAAATCTTTACCAATTAATGACTAAGCTAACGATTTCCTAATCTCTACTGCAAATACAAGAAAACCATGCAAAGAGGGCACAATTAGGCTTCCAGGAGAACCTATACTACTCTAAAGACAAGTTAATTGTATCTTACTGTATGCCTAAATTTTACTGATTATTTGATATTGTTGTTCTGAGCTTTTGATATATGGATAACCTTTTCAAAAGCATTTCATCTTTAATCAGTCTAGAAAATTTTCTTTTGTTCATTCTCCAAGGGCGTAGAACCTAATCTTAAAGCTTCTTTTATTTTCCTTGAATAGAGTAAAAACTTAGAAATTAATTGACTTAATTCACATATTAATGCCTTTATTTTTTTCAGGTAATAGAGTTGTTGATAGACTGGATAGTGATAAATATTATATAATGATGATTTGGGTTACTGAAAGAATTCTCAGAGATTATTGAGAGTTTAACATGGGAATCTTGCCAGGATCTATATTGATGTTTTCCCTGAACTTGCCACAGAGGTCACTAGAGAGGCCTACACATGCTATAAATAACAGAGGACTGAATCAAGGAGGAGGTGATATTTTGAATATAACTAAGGACCTGGAAACCAGTGCTACTGGCATTTCTTCATAAGTTCAATGATGGCTGAACCATGGTCTTTATCTATCTCTTGGCCTTTTTCCTTCCATGTCAACTCATGGTCTCAAATATGGCTCCTGTCCATCATGGCGGTATTTGTATTCCATGCATGAAAGTGGGAGTGGCTGAAGGGGCATGCTGAGTCTTTTCAGTTACAAAAATTATTTTAGAGACCCAACCCAGATATTTCTGCTTTTACATACTATTGGTAGTGATAAGGTCTCAAGGACATCTGTAGAACACACATAAAATTGACTGGGTAGGAGTTGTGGATGGGGACTAGGACAAGGTACCCACAATGTTTTTCAAGGAATGTGTTGAATACAATCACAGTGGTATGATTTATTAATTTATTAACATCTTAAACAAAGGCTATGTGATAGAAGAAGTCAGTGGGCGCCATCTAGCTGGGTTGTCATGTGTCCCCTCTTATCTGCTACATTTGTAAGCATTTCCTATGATGGTCTTTGATAGCTGAATGAGCTTGACTAAATATTCAATAGATAGAAACCAACCCAAGTTATGCCACATGGTGCAAGGTCACATGCTGACCTATTAATTACAGATGGATTATTACAGATGGATCTGTAATAAGCCAAAAAATGTTGTCTCAAAAACTAACAAAAATAGTGGATTAAGCCCCAATATCTTATTATGAGCAATTTTGGTCAGTTGATTAGTCTAGGTTTTCCTATCTCTCCTGAGCGGTCCTCATCCCCCTGCTGGGGCCAGAAGCTCATCCCAGGTATATTTTTCCAAGGCTAAGGTTGAGGGGCTAGACAATAATACCCATGAAAACACTCCTTTAGCCTCTGCTTTCATCGAGCTCCTAATATCTTATTTTTAGATCAAAACAAATCCCACAGCCAAGTGCAAAGAATGAGAAATAAATTTACTCACAAGGTGAACATTTTTGAAGACTAATTTATTCTTCCACAATCTTTCCACCAGTTTTGGGCATGGCAACTGAGAAATAATGATTGCTCTGGCATATCCAGAAAAACATAACATTATTTTCACTAGGTTTTTGACAAATAATAGTGTAAGGATTGCCTTATCATCCAACATTGTATTCTTAATAAATATATATTTTTAAACATTGTGAGGGGGAAAAAATAAAACCTGCTGTCCTGTTCATAGTCACTGTAAAATTTCAATGAAACTTGTGTGGCTGACATACACTGATTCTAATGGAAGTTGGCAGAGTCCCAGACCTCTTAAAGGAGGAGCTTCTAGAAATGCCACTTGTAAGACAGATAGACATTTCAAAAAATTCAGAAAAGAGTGGCTAGGAAAAGTTAATTCAACATATAAAGGTTCAACTGTTATGAAGGGGTCTTTCTTTCCCCAAGGGAAGGCACATGTCTAAGGAGGGAATGACCATGAAAAATTGTGCTTGCTGTTCTGACAAGATACATATTTCATGACCCAGTTCATCCCTTCATAAAGAGCTTCATCCTTGCACACTGAAATTCTTGCTCTCATTATTGTCAGCCTCTTACACATTCCATACCCCAATATGGGAGATGCAAACCTTTGAGCATCCTCCTTATAGTTTCCTCCTGCAGAGCAGATCAGCTATGTTTGAGAACACATTTCAGCATATACTACAATTGTGTAATAGTAATAAGAGCAAGAATAAGAATATTAGATAACATTTCATCCATCATTTCAGGCACTTTTCTACATGGAATAAATGGTATTATTTTCCCTTGTAACAGACAAAGAAATAACTACTTTGAACACTTAAGTAACTTACCTAATACCTATAGGGGGGTTATTTATTCAAAAGCTAAAAAGTCTATAGTTTTTAAGGTCAAGATTGATATGAGATAATTACTGTGCTTGACTATGTGGTAAATAAAAAATAGCAATAGCATTGAAGATGATAGGCATGTTCTGTTACAACCAGCTTCTCTATATTTTGTACATAGTATCATCTACTTCACATAAATATGGGAAAATAAGCATTGATCTTTGTGATGCTTCATGAGAAATGTAAATGCCAATAAAGACGTCTCCAGAGTGATCTTGAAAGAAAACGAGCAATTTATAAAGGAAATGTGGCCCAGAAATTCTTTCAAAACTCTGTAATGCAAATTCACAACTCTGGTTCACACACTCCTTGAAGAAGGAGGTGGTCTCTGAAAGATGAGGATTGACCTGTAGAATTATAATAGAAAGGGTTCATAGTACTAAGCCACTTTTGCAAGTTGGGGAAAGATAGAACTCCATTTTCTAGAGAATTGATGTGCTCAGTGAACTCGGTGAATAGCATCCACAAAGTCAAGAGGAGCTGAGCTGGTTGAACGGATAGGGCACATATTAAATTGATAGTGATTAATTAGTTTTATGTCACTTTGGTGCTTTTAGACTTGTTCATGGTATGGTTTTCAATTATTTTAGTATTATTGGAAGAGCCAAGATTAGACCAGAGTTATTAGAATTAGATGAGTTACCTTATTTGCAGAGTAGGATAACCTTTGCTATTTTCC